CCTTGTGTCCTGGGATTTGGGCTAAGAGCTCAGGAAGATGATCTCAGGCAGAAATAAAGGAGAATGGCAGGGGAGGATATAGGGGCAGGGCAGGAGGGAGGGGGAAGCATGGGTAACACAGGTTTGCACCTAACAAATGTGGAAGGGTCGATTACAATACCCCTGCAAAAGGGAGCTATTGTCTGTGTAGACTGTCTTACCCTTTGTGTTAAAGATCCAAGTTGATAAGGTAGAAGAGATCCCTTTGTAAAACAATGACACCAACAGCTGATAATGGCTTTCTGTGTCAGGCAGTACTCTGACTGCTTCCCAAGTATTAGTCACTTACTTCTTAGGACAGTTTGGTGGGATGAAGAACTGATGTATCGGGGAGGAGAGTCCTCAGCATCCCGGAGACACGTAAGAGTACATTGCGAAATTAGGTGGAGGGCGTTTTGTCTCCCAGCTGGTGAGACCATGACTATGTGCTATGTGATGGCTACTACTGAGCTCCCTCCCTGACCACCAGCCTCATTTAAAGAGCACCCCCTCACCTACAAAATAATGATGTTATATCCCCAGATCGTTACGAGAATTAGAGTTAATATTTTCAAAGATAAGGAGACATAAGAATAGGCATTGTGTTTAAAAAACTGGTAGATAGTGCAAACATTGCATACAGGCAATCCTCTGCTTGACATCCCTAAAATGTCTATAAATGGCACCTTTTGCAATACTGCAGGTAGCTTATTCAGTTGAACGCCTGATGGAAATTTGGTTTGTGTTTAGAGACCATGTTTGATGGAAAGTATCTATCTTTAAACTTTAAAATTCAGAGCAGTGAGGTGGTAGCATAGCAATAGCTCTGAGGGGAAGTCTGAGACCACCCAAGGGAGCAGCAGGTACCTCTCTCTCTTTTCGCACTCATTCTGGTGAATACATTCAGTGAAATACCGAGCAGAATCGCCTATTGCTTATATTAAATAACTCACTCTTGGCTGTCACTATCTGAGCATGTGGCTGCATTTGTAAGTTACCTCTATGTGTGATTCCATGTCACTCGACTAAAATCAGGAGACTAGCCCTGCCGCAGCTACTATGGGACCTTGGGGAAGCCATTAAACCTCCCTGGCCATTAAATGATTACTACCAGAGCAAATGGTCTGTGATTTTATTAGGCCCAGAAGGGAGCTGATGAGAATAATCAGGTATCTAATTTGTGCCTTGCCCTACTCTCTGTGTTAATTGGGTGAGAAGTACAGTGGGACTTTATTATTTGAACTGTGGGACTAGAGGGAGGATTGCCTGATCTCAAAGCCCTTCCCTTTAGCCTACATGGCAATGCTATCAAGTTCAATTTCAGTGTTTAAGTTCACGTTCATGCTCACATTCTGTGGAGATTTATCTAATCCCATACTCCTAGGCAGAGTTTTTTCCGTCACTGCTACTCGATTAGTGAGTGCATTGGAGCAAGTACCGAGATCACCCCTTGGGCTGAGAGAGGGGCAACTTCTACTGCCCATATAGCAAGAACCCAGCCCAGAGGGTTGCACTGGTTCCCATGTCTAGGTTCCAGAACGCAGGGCACCAGACAGTGGGTCCAAGAGCTGCTTCCTATGCTCTCTTTCCTTTCATCCTCCTTTTCTCTTTCACTTTTGTGGAATCTGTTTGGGGGAAAACCTGGAAAATATTGGGCATTTTTGTTGCTTGTCCACTTGTTTCCTTGAGGCATAGAGAGAAGTGAAAGGATGTATAAAGAAGAAACAAGAGAAAGATAAGCGTGTGGTGTTTTTGTTTTGTTTTTTAAGGTTCAAATTAAATTCTAGAGAAACCCAATAATTTTTGACAGAACTCTTTGAGACAAAAGTAAAGAAAGCTTACGTAAGGATCATCAGGCCAGGATCTGTTACTCTGGGCACAGGTTTCCAAGTATCTTTTCCAAGTTCCCATTCTGAGCTCATGCCATTCTGCTAATGGCTACGTTTGCCATTTGTTTCTCTTGCAGAAAGTATCAATGGGGACCTCAAATGCTGGAGAAAAGTGACCTCTCATGGAATACAAAGGATACCTGCTGCTACATGTTTTTGTCCTACTACCTCTGATTCCTGAAACACAGACTCTCCAGATCTGTAGAGAGTCAACTGATCAGACTTTTCACCATGCATCAACTCTTCAGGCTGGTTTTGGGACAAAAAGATCTTTCACGAGCTGGGGACCTCTTCTCCCTAGATGACTGTGAGATTGAAGACAGCCTGACAGAAGCTTTGGAGCAGATTAAAATAATTAGCTCATCTTCAGTAAGTAAACTGGTTTATAGCCTAGATCCCTGACTGGACCTATTCTAGAGCCAAAGGATTATGTATTTCCTGGGGGAAGGATCTTTGCAGGGGCAAGAGGAAAGACCACTTATATTGGTGTCTCTGAACTCTGTTTTATGGTTTAGTTGCCATCTAAGAAATAATAGCAGGAGAGTTATTTACTTGGAGGCAGGAAAGGAGTCGGGTCAACTTTTGCTCATTCATGAGACCAGAACTCTAGAAATTGCAGACTGGAGTAGAATCCTCACAGATGGATTGTTTAGGAGTTATTTCTTACATCCTTGACATGACATGGAGTGGAGAGGGAGCAAATCCAGGCAAAGCAGACCTGCCAAGCTGTACAACAGCATCCGTAAACAAAGCAGGGCGTGCAGTGGAGGCTGAATAATGAAAGAAGGCAGGATGACACCTCCTGCCACGCAGGTAATATGAGACAAGGACAACGATCACACCACTGCCAGAAGTGACAGTTGCCCAGGGCTTGATAACACTGGTTCTGTTTCTGTGTTGTCTCTCTCTCTCTCTCCTTTTTTTTTTTTATTTTCCAAATCTTTTCTTTGCCATTTTAAAAATACCTCTATTCCCATTCAATCCAACTAGTCCATGATCAATCCTCAGGTGATTGGACAGATTTTAAGTCTTCATCAGCCCCCTTCCTCCATTTCTTAGATGCTCTTCAATGTCAAGATTGTATATTCTGAAACAACTCCCCAAAGGGTACAGATGTGGAGTGCCCAGCATAGTTTGATCTTGACCTTCTTGGTTGTGCTTGAACCCTCCTTGGGATTGGGCCCTTTTCAGAGGCCTAGGACAACAAATATCCTCTCAGATCCTCCCAGCCCCACAGCATTTCCCAAGGCTTGGCACAGGCACCCATTAGGAAGAGGAAAGTGGGGGACTCAAGCCATAAAACACCAAGCTGGCAAATGTATACCTAGGCAGACATAAAAGCTCTCTTCCATGATTATAATGAAGAAATGTTTAAAAGGCACACTGGCAACCAGCGTGGCCTCCTCCTCAAGCCTGTCAGCATGTTCTCTCACCGCCATCAAGATGCCCAGTTCCCCACTGACCAGTGAAGTCACTTCACAAACACCCCTTCTCTTCTCAGGTACTGTCGTTGACAGCAATTAATGCAACCACGTTTCTTTCCAGAACATAATCAACTTAGTCTGACTTGAAACACAGTGTTCCTGGTACAGTTCCACTTTCTGGTGAGGACTTTTGTGCTGTGTCCAGCGGCCCCTTCTTTCATACACCTCTGAAAATAAATTGGCTGAATATGCCAGTGATTTTCATTTTCTTAGTAGAGAACCAACCATTAAAACAAACAAAAAACCCTCAAGTTCTCTAAAGCCTACTTCCACTAGAGGTCACTAGTCGCCAGTGATTGCTTTGGTTTCCTTCATCAACCTCTTTGTCTCAGATATCAAACTCAGAATTTTAGGATGGTAAGTTCGATAATATGTGCCCACTCTTAAGACTGGTAGGACACTTGTCATTAAGAGCATTGTTTGTCCCATAAGCTCTCCCATCAGCACCACACTTAACCAGCAGGTCTAGGGAATTGGTATGTATTCATCTAACTCCATCCCATCTTGCTTCTTTGATTCCTCTCTCTGTACCCATGGCATGGAGCAGAAGAAAGCTGGAAACTCCTCATTTAGATATGTTAATTTTGAGGTGACAAATGCCTGTAGTTCCTTATCTTCCTGTTTTGATCAGTCCACTGAACCACCACAGTGAGCTCTTTAGCTTCCTTCCGTTAGCTGTGCCCCATCTTTTTTTCATAACTAAGCCAAGATCTTCCTTATTAGGCCTTCCCTAATGACCCTGGGACTCAGTAATAATTCTACTTCTCAATTTCTCTTCAGAAGCATAGAACAGGGCCAGCCAGAGTGACACATGATAGCACAAAGTTTGACGATACTGAAGCAAGTTGGGAAGCGACCAGGCTTGCTTCCCAAAGTCTCCCTATCCATGCTGCATGCACATGTGCCCGTGATGCTGGCCGATGGAGGATGGGGTGGATTGCAGTGTGAAGACCCTGTTAGAGGTACCAGTTTGTCTCTCTCATGAAAGAAATCAATAAACTTTAAGAAAAAAAATGGAAAGAAAAAAAAAAAAAGGAGCAGAATGGAGGCTTCTAAACTTTTCCAACTTCCGTCAAAGAAATCCCTTCCTTAGGATTACTTAGGATTGGTAGGCTGTCCTTCTACGCTTGCAATAATGAAGTTACAGTAGCTTTTTTATTTTTATTTTTCCTGCTCCTCAATTTTCCTTTTGAGAACTGTCTTTTTCTGTTGCTTAAATCCTGGATAGGACATTCATTCATCAAGGTTCCCTTCTACTGACTATTCTCTACCCTACCCTGCCAGGGAAAGGGGAGGAAGGAGGAGGAGACACCTGACTTAAGCTTGCCAATCAGAATTTCTTTCAGAAATCATTGGAGGGTTACTTATCATGAGGATGGTGGCCCAAAGAGATGACCCTTTGTTTCCTACCCTCTATCACTATGGCTACATCATCCATTTCTCTTCTAAGGCCAGGTGCTTCAATTTATTCTTCACATATTTGAGCCATCTCATACTTTTAATTATTGTCTATAGTTGTCTAGGTCTTTTCTGTTGTTTATGATCAAAGGATTCTCAATAACAAAGAGATAGCTGTTTTGTTGCTGGAAGCTAAATGGTTAACATGTTCCACCTTTGGGCCAGGTGAAATCTGACCCTTTGTCTCTTTGAAACTATTGTACTTTGTTCTATTCTCTGTCCCCAACAATCAAAAGAGTTTAACCTCTGTTCCCATTAAAAAAAAAAAAATTTTTTTTTAAACCTTTGTAGATAGACATCAAGTCTCACCTCTGGCTTCTCTGGCTATCTAAATAGCCTTATCGTCTCTGGGTTTTTCCATGACAAAGAAGGAGACTATGTCAGGAAAGGGTTATCCACCTCACATGGTAGCAGCCTGACTCTCAGATCTGGAAAAGTCCATTTTATCGTACAAGAGAAATGCTGTCCAAACCGGGACACCCAAATAACTGAGTTAGAAGCATGAGTTAGAATGCCAGTTTAGTGACTTACAATGAAAGTTATAACTCATAGGGGTCAGAAGTCTTGCATGCTCTATACTCTTTTCTCCAAGTCTATATCTTTAGATAAAATATGTTAGTTTTTGTTAAATATTATCATCCTCTATTATAATCACATGATAGCCTTCCCTCCCTGGATTTACATCTGACTCACCTCCGAGTCACCCACGTACAGTTAGTGTCTTAGTTTAGGTCTGAAGCTGATTAGGCCCACTCCTATACATGAACTTTCTTAGTTTCATCTTCAAAGAGCAATCATGTTTCCAAGTTCTTACAAAGCACTTCATTGCAGCTCCCTAGTATGGTTACATTCCCATCATTTTTATCATCGTCCCTGGAATCTTACTAATTTGTTATTATAATTTATCATTGCCTAGTACTTGGACCAGTTGCTTTCAGTCGTTGCTGATATGAGTCAGAGTCTCTGTTGCTAACATTTCTTTTCAATACTGACATCACCAGTTGTCCACATTTATCCTGCAATGTGTTAAGGCCCTCGGATCGAATCAATATTTATTTATTTATGTTTAAAGAATTATTTTATTAACTTTATTTATGTATTCATTTGTTTATTCAATTTGATCAGAGAGGGACAGAGTGAGAGAGAGAGAAAAAGTGAGAAAGCAAGCTGCCTGGTCTGGGACTCGAACTGCAGTCAGCCATGTGGGAATCCAGTGCTTTTAACCACCACGCCACCTGCTGGCCTCCGAACCAATATTTATAATTAGATAACTTTAAAAACATTTAAATGTGTTGTATCACATATTAAACCATTGCAAAAATATTCTCGTCTGTAGGCCCTCCTGTCAGCATATGCATGCCTTTTGAACATCATGCTTTCATCAGATATATTCGTTATCATTCCCAGCTTTACAGAATCTGAAAATTTGACAAGCAAGTCTCTGAGCCTTCCTATAAAGTCATTCACCAAAGAGTGGAAACTTGCTCTGCATGTCTCATTCTCTATCAGTTATTCCAGACTACCGCTATAAAATAGGTTGTCCTTCACTTTGCTTTGAAACAAATGTGACTTTTCATTCAAAATTCTCTCCAAGTTCCCAAACATTCCTTTAAGTTATGTCTTTTCGTTTCATGCTCTTTTTGGACCACCTTTACCTAATAATTATTTCTTGAACAAACTTGATTTTCCTCCAAGACTGCTTTGAGTTTGTCTCATCTTCTCTTCTCTTCTTCTCTTCTCTTCTCTTCTCTTCTCTTCTCTTCTCTTCTCTTCTCTTCCCTTCCCTTCCCTTCCCTTCCCTTCCCTTCCCTTCCCTTCTTCTCCCACCTTGGCGTTGATGTTCGCCCAGTCGATTCACCCATCTTCCACTTCTTTCCATTCTTTTTAACAATGAAACTTGTTAGTTACACCGAATCACCTCATCTACAACATTAGGTACAATCAGATCACTTGAATATCTCTTTCTACTCCTGTTCTCCTCCCTTATGGTACCCTTAAGGTAACTCGTATCCTGAATGGGTATTTATCACATATCATTTTATTTCTTTGTTATATCATGTTCGAAAATTATTTATAGTATTGTGTTTAATGTTTTTAAACTTTAACTAAGTGGTGAGTCATAATGCTCAATGTTATGTTTTATCCATGCTGGTACATGTATTTGGTAATGTATTTGGGTCGCTGGGAAAATCATGACACATTTTTGCAAAACAGAAAATAGGCTGACCTTCCTGATGACTTCATAGTTCCAAATTATTTATTTTCACCAGGACAGAGTATTTAATTAAATGAACATGCACAGTTTATTTATCTATTCTTACTTTGATGGACATTTTATATTTAAATAGTGCTATAGTAAATGTAATTATCAGTTTTAACAAATATGTATTTCTAAGGTACACAACTAAAAATGAAACGTTGGTTTTGAGATTTTGTGTGGCAAAAGGCATTTTCAGGTGCAACATAATGAAAGATCTTGAGATGGATAGATTATCTGGAGTATCTGGGCGGGCCCAGTAGAATGATAAGGCTCCCTTATAAGAGGGAGGCTACAAGAAGGTCCAACGTGGAGGAAGGAGATCTGGCAAAGGAAGTAGAGGCTGGAGTGATAGGCTTCGATGATAAAGGAAGATCGTGAGCCAAGAAATGCGGGTGACCTCTAGAAACTAGAAAAGATAAGAAAAGGCATTTTCCCCCTCAGCATCTCCAGAGGGCACTGGATTTTAGCCCAGTGAGAATGAATTTTTGTCTTGAGACCTTCTTAACTAGAAGGAAATAAATTTTTCTACACCAATTCTTGAGCCACAAAGTATGTGATAATTACTGACAGCAGTAACAAGAGAACAAATACTGTCTCCCTTCTCTCTCACTGAGTCTAGATTCCCCTCATCCTCAGCAATCACCTTTGCTGATTTAAACTGATTCCTAGAGGGGTGATTCAAGTGCTTTTACCTGAGGGAGCTAAGTCTCTGGTCTCTGGTCTCTACACCCTTCACACATTGTCCACTTTCCATCAAAATTGGCCAGGAGAGTACCAAGAGTTGCCCCCACTGTGTAACAGATGCCTACCTGCTCCTAATGATTATGGTTGATTAATCTGGTCAGGATGGTGATTCCTTTCTTTCTCTGCTGGGCTCTTCACACTTCAGAAGCCTGAAGTGACTGAGCTCCCAAGCTCAGGTATTCTACCTCTGGGAACACAGCACCAGGCAGAGATCATAGTCAGTTCATATCCTGACTCTGGGAGGATGGTGCCTATCTTCATAGAATATTAGGTTGAATTTCTCCTTTGAGAGCTTGCTCCATCAACCTATCAGTCCAGCAGGTTTTCTTGTTGTTGTTTTGGTTTGGTTTTCATAGTTTACTTGTTTTACTTCACATTTTTACTTAACATAATTTTTATTAGTCCAGTTAAAAAATATTATTATATACCTTATCATCAACAGATACTTTTCCATTTTTGTGTCCCTTAAATGTTTTGATTCTTTTCCCAGCAGTATTGAGATGGTGGAAGAAGGAGTTACAGTACATGATAAGATGAGTGAGTCATATGTGCCCACTGCTAGACACTCTTTTCTATCAAGTAGTTTTTGATCTGATGGATTGTGAAGTGTAGGATCTAATGTTGGTAGACCAAATACTCTGTGATTCCCTCAAACAGTAGTTCAGGCTTAGACCTTGTGGGCAGGAGTAAAAATTGGTAAGGCCTCTCTGGAACATAGTTTGGCCACATATATCATAAGCCTGAAAAATGTTTCTATGATTTGCCTCAAAAATTTCCACTTCTGGAGAATCTAGATTATAGATCATCTATATTCTATAATGTAGAAAGGGTTTTGTGCACAAGATCCTCACTGCTCCAGTATTAATAGCAGAAAACACAAAAGGCTGTTAGAGCTGGATCTTGCAGTTAGACAAGTTCATCACTTCCCATCTTTAGCTGCACACACATGATGACATAAGGACCCATATATGAACCCTTCCTGCTTTGATGTTTCAAGGGGGCTTTTTTGTTTGTTTGTTTTTAAGATTTTTGCCATAGGGCATATGCGCTGCCAGAGAGAGACACAGAGACAGAAAAAGTGAGAAATCATTCCCCCAGAGGGGATGGCCATGCCACAATCCCTTCTCTTCCATTCTTCTCTCAGGACATTCAGCATGCACACACATGCATGCGTACACACACACACACACACACAGTGTGTTTTTCAAGCTGTTGGGTCTGGAACTCCAATCACGCAGTCAGCCATGTAGGATCCAGTACCTTAACCACCATGCCACCCAGGGTGTTTACAGTCAGACCCGTTTTCTAAACAACAGTGATGGCCCTATTTTTCACATGTAGATGTTCTAGAGTCATATTATCTCGCTGTAAAGAGGATGAGGTATTTGAGGAAAATTTTAAGTAGTGAAATAGAAGGAAATTTGGAAAGCTAAAATGGGTTTGGTAGTTACTTCGGTTGAAAAGAGGAGATAAAATGACATGTTCTATTATATCCAGAAAGAGAGAAAGTTATTGAGGGGAAACTGGAAGGCAATTTGTAACATTTCACAAAAGTTACTGATATGACAGAGTAACTGCCACCATATCAGTAACCCCTGTCTTGTCATGGATTTAGAAACTGAAATAGCCTGAAGATTGTCACTCCCTTGCACATAAGTAATTAAGCTCCTTGATACTGTCCCTGCTCCTAGTCTACAGGTGAGAGTAGGAACCTGCTCCTTTGGAATCTGTATGTATGTCTGACTATTCCACAAGACGATGTTCTCCAAAAAGGAAGACCATTATTACACTGAACTTTTGCTTTCACCACTTAGCACATAACCTGGTACACCCATTTTCTAAAAGACTGTGTTAGTATTTTGTCCTTTGAAGGATCACTTTCTAGAGCATTATTTAACATGAGGCTTTCTTTCCAAATAGGATTACCAAACCAATAACAATGACCAAGCAGTGGTGGAAATTTGTATCACAAGAATCACAACAGCCATCAGGGAGACAGAGTCGATTGAAAAGCATGCAAAGGCCCTTGTCGGACTCTGGGATTCCTGCTTGGAACACAATCTGAGACCTTCTGGGAAAGATGAAGACACTCCTCATGCAAAAATTGCATCTGATATCACGAGCTGTATTTTACAGGTATGTCAGTGTTCAGTATCAGGCCATTTGATACTAGGTAGGCAACCTAGATGAACATCCATGGTCTCTGGACCAAGAGCCCATGTGTCTGCTGCATTTAGATACTGTGAAAAGAGACCACAAACCATCAATAGCTAAGCAGATGGGCTGGTAATTAATAGACCGAGAAAGTTCTATTGAGCCCTTACTATGTGCGAGATACGCCATAGGGAATTCAAAGTAATACCACAGCAAGCCTCTGATCTATGTGGAGAGATAAAGTGTGTGCATTTAGGGGGTGATTTCTCGCTTTCTGTCTCTCTGTCTCTCTCTGTCTGTCTGGTGAGCACACTTGCCCTATAGCAAAAACCTCTCCAAAAAAAGAAAAAAAAAAAAAAGCTAATAAGTAAGTAATAGGTGCCAAGATCAAAATAAGGCATACTGAAAAATTCAGAAGAGGAAACCTCTTTCATTCATTCAAGGAGGCCAGAGAGGACATGGGAACTAAACCGAAGGAAAATGAGCTTGGGATATGCGGAGAGATGGAACTGAGTCATTTTTCAGTGTATTTCTATATGTATTGTGAAATCTCTAGGACAATATTTGCCTGTTCTGGACATATTTAATTCCTTCTTCTTCTGTAAACATAAACTTGGAATTTGGGCTCAGTTGCAAAGCAGTTGTGTAACATTAAAATGTAGGGTGTCTCTTACCTTTCAAAGCCATAATTTCTTCCCTATAAAATGCAAATGAAACGAATTGTCTATGAAAATTTTTACCAACCAGTGAGAATGACAGATGTTTGTCAAAAAAAGAACTCTGTATTCAAATAGTCTAGGAAGCACTGACGTCAATTTTTCTGTTTTGAATATTCACTATGTTTCGTAGCATAGTAAAGGCTCCCAAAGTCCTATAGTAAAGAAAGCTGGTTAACTTTGTTTAGTTCAGCATCTTTGATCCAATTTGACCATGGAATGCCTTTTTCCTCTCAACACAACATTTATGAATAACTCTCAGAACCAGGGATCCGCTGAATACAGTTCAGAAAATTCTGGTTTTGCTAAAATGCGAAGCACTGTGTGTGGCAACTTATATTACTTCTGTTTTCTTTCTTTTCCTCCTCCTTCTCCTTCTTTTTCATAGTCTTTCATGATTAACTAAAGCATGTTCCATTTTATCCTGCTCAGTCCAAGGACTGGTCAACTCAGCAAAAGACTGTATGTACGGGAACTAGCAGTTAGCGTAATGACTATGTCGCTGGACTCCCACGTAGTCGACTGCAGTTCACATCCCAGACCCGGTGGCTTAAAACTCATGCCGGGCACGTGTGCGTGCGTGCCCAAGATCCCGAGAGGAGATTGGAGGAGAAGGAATTGCGGCGTGACCATTCCCCTTGGGGGGTGATTTCTCACTTTCTGTCTCTATGTCTCTGTCTGTCTGTCTGGCAAGCGCATGTGCCCTGTAGCGAAAACCTATCAAAAAAAAAAAAAAAAAAAAAAACTGTATGTACCACACAGTTTTCCTTTGTCTCTGGGTTTGGGGATGGGTGAGATGAAATGATGATTTCAGCAAAATTGACATGAGATTAATGGTACTTAGAAGAAACCCCACATATCTAATACTTATGTTCTTCCTTAGTGATCCTGTGTTTGTTATTGATATACATGAGAAGCATAATTATTTCACTCCAAGCTATACATGCCACAGATATTCAGACCAAAAAGACATTCACATATCAGCCATATTCTCCAGCTCCCTCTATCAGTTCAAAAACCACTGGTCTACACTTCAGAGCACTATCCAACAGAAATCTAACACAAGTCACAAATACAAGCCACATAAGTAATGAATTTTCTAGTAGCACATTAATATGCAATAAGAAGAAACAGATGAAATTGATTTTACTATTATAATTTCTTTTACCCAATATATCCAAAATACTGTTGTTTCCACATGTTATCATTTCAAGATAGTTTACTTTTTTAAAAATACTGGGACCAATAGTTGGCATAATGGTTACGTCGCTGGACTCTCACATAGTCCACTGTGGTTCAAGTACTGGACCTGGTGGCTTAAACTCATGCTGGGTGCGTGTGCGTGCATGCCCAAGATCCTGAGAGGAGAATGGAGGAGAAGGGATTGTGGCATAGCCATCCTCCTGGGGGTGGGGGGTGATTTCTCACTTTTTGTCTCTCTGTCTTTCTGGCGAGCGCACACACCCTATAGCAAAAACCTCTCAAAAAAAATAAAATGCTAAGTCTCATAAATCTGGCAGGTATCTGAGCACATCTGACTTTAGACTAGTCACATAGCCAGTACCTAGAAACTTCCATGAAGTTCTGGACTAGTCACATAGCCAGTAGCTAGAAACTTCCATGAAGTTCTGTGGCTCCTGTGTTAGCACAGGTTTAGAGCCAGGGGGATTTCCTGGATGGAGATCAAATTTGGAACAAGTTATGAGCCATGAGCAGGAATTTCATAAGATAAGCAAGGTGGAATGACAAGACCTTCTCTGAAAAAAAAAAAAAAAAAAAAGAAACCTGTTTATGTAAAAGTACAGATTTATGAATAAGACCAAAGTCAGAGAATTTTAATCTTATTCCCTTTCTAAAATGCCCCACATTCTAACAAACAGAGATGTTTTATTCTGGGTAAGGCATTACGTCTTCTATAAAAAAGGGAGGAAATAAAGCAAATGCTTTTGAGCAATAGAAATTCTAAGCTTACTGAGGCCAGCAGATGGCATGGTGGTTAAGGATGCTGGACTCCCACATGGCTGACCATAGGTTGAGTACCAGACCTGGCGGCTTACTTTCTCATTTTCCCTCTCTTTCCTTCTCTCACTCTGTCCCTCTCTGGTCAAATTAAAATAAATAAATAAATGAATAAATAAAGTTAAATAGAATAATTCTTCTTTTAAAGAATTGCTTATTTTTATTTTTATTCATTTATTTATTTTTATTTGACCAGAGAGAGAGAGAGAAAGTGAGAAAGCAAACCACCAGGTCTAGGACTTGAACCATGGTTGGCCATGTGGGAATGTCCAGCACCTTAACCACCACGCCACCTGCTGGTCCTTTTATTTTTTAAAGAATTGTTTATTTTTAATTTTTAAAATTCATTTAGAATAATTCTGTTTTAAAAAATAAATTCTGGACTTACTAATTATCAATGACTCAGTGTAAACGAGTTTGTTAGATTGTCAAGAGCAGGGTCCTGAGGTCAAGACTGATAGTTTGGGAAGGGGCAGAGAGCACTGGGGCATAGACCTCCTCGTTGAGACAGACAAGTGAATCACAGAAGTGGGTGACTCCAACCTGTAGGACCAATGGGGATGGGATGGCCACTGTGTGCCCTAGGGAGGGGCAGAAGCCACTGTAATGAAAGGCAGGAAGCGTTAACACCAAACTTGCCTTTCAGCAAAGTTCAGCATCTTGCCCAAGTCACCCCTGGGATATGGCCTCAGAAAGTCAGCCTGGGAACCAAAGGCAAGGTTGTGATCCCAGGACTTACATTTTAGTTTTCACCACTTTTAAGAGTAACTTTCTGGGTTACGTAAACATCGAAAAGATGACTTTTATACTACTTGTCATTGAGTTTCTCGTGTGAATCATGCAGAAATCCAGATCATTCATTTTCTTTTCTTTTCTGTTTTCAGTAAAATAGAATAGTAGAGCAACTTTAAAAGGTTTGGCCTGCAGCATTTTTAGCTTGCATAAAATAAGAAAAACGTTTTAAAGAAGTGTTCACCCAACCCTACCTTCCGAGATAAGCAGTCCTAGTACTGTACATCTAATCAGGCTAGGGCCCAGCCATTTCTTCCTACACCCTTGACCATTTCATTACTTTTTTTATTATTATTATTTTATTGAACTTTATTTTATTTATTTATTTAAATTTGACCAGAGAGAGACAGAGAGAAGGGGGTGGAGTGAGAAGGCAAGCCGCCAGGTCCGGGGCTCAAACCACAGTGGGCCATGTGGAAGTCCAACGCTCCTAACCACCATGCCACCTGCTGGCCCCTCATTGCTTTAAACCTACTTTGGGTGATCAATTCTGATCCTCTTTTATTGGCAATTATATCAAATTATGGCAATTATATCTAAATCCTTTCTTTTCTTGACCCCTATATTTGTGAACTGGCCACATTTATCTTAAAATAACTTAACATTTCAGAATTCATCGTCTACTCTCTCTTCAAGACAAACTTAGTACGCGTGTGCAGCATGCACTGGTGAGCTGTTTTATTTTACTTTATGTTGCCTTGGACCATGTGCTTCTACCAGCTCATCCTGTATCTTAGACTAGTCCCTCAACTTGTGTATAAAACAACAGATCGAATGAGATCACCTTACAGTCTGGAGTTATGATTCTCTCAAGAGATGCTGAGAAGTAAAACCGCAACTAGCTTGAGAGCTTGAAATCTTCCGTCGTACAGATCTTGGTCTTGTTAGACAAGAGACTGGCACGTTATTTACTCTCACTGGCAATGCTCTGTTCTGCCATCTCTAAAACGGGGATTGTATTACCTACGGCTTGGGACTGTTATGAGGGTTAAAGGTTATATTACATATACAGGGCTGACGGGGTACAATTTCTGCATAGCAAATGCAGTGAAAGTAGTGGTTTGTAGCTGGCAAATAAAGCCAGAGTCTTGTAGGGCAAGAGAAACGAGTATCCATTTGGCTCCATTCAAGACATCAAACCATTGACATTTCGTGCTTCTAATTGAAGTGGTAGGTACACACGAAGAGGCCCCTTCACCTCAAAAGTTATTCCACTTGAGGCCTAGCCACTACATGGAAACACTTAAGTCAAAACACAACTTATTCAGGATTCACAGCTTCCTCAACCAGATTCATCTGTCAAATTGACCATTGCCCATTTCTTTTCCCATCTGAAAATCCTGAAAGGGAAAATAACCCCATAAGGCATACTATACTCTAAGATAAATACAAACTTGGAGAGGGTTCATGAAAGTTAAAATGCCTTTAGGGTCACTATAATTATTGACATAGCTG